CTGTTAGCGTTAATTATTTTATTAGAAGACGTATGGGTCTGAGGTGACACGTTTGGCGGCATAGGCCTCTTGAAAAGGGTATTGTATCGCCAATGACCGGTGGCATATCAAAAAAGAGTCTCGCGGTTCTAGCAAAGGGAAGTTCGGTAACTCGAAAATTCCGATTTCTTTTAAAATTGCAGGTTTGTAGGGGACCTCAAGAGAAGTATAGCACAATTTTTGTTTTTGCCCCAATTTCAGTTCTGGGCGAAGAGGACTGTGTCAAAAGACACGGCACTTACCCGAGAATCTTGGATCGATCGCGATATCTGTTGGATCTCTGCCGCAATCGGAGGGTAATAAAGTATTGTTGGACAGATCGAACTGCAATTTTGCATTTTTCGCCCCATCGGCACCGCCTGAAAGATCGGGGTTTTCGTTTTGAATCGGGCAACAAGCTCGGGGATCATTACCATTAAAACTACACTGTGATTGCCTTAAAAATTCTGTGGCTTCTGGCTTAAGCGGAGAGGTTTGCAAAATAGTCAATAGCTATGGATATTGCCGTAATCCTATGCACACCGTGCGGTAATATGCAATTCGATTGCCCTTCGTTTTCTAAAAGAGAAAATTAAATTTTCGGAATGTAAAAACTGATTGAATTGACTATGTGACCTTGTATCATGCAAATGTAATATCGTCTTCGTATGTTTTATTTCCCGCTATTAGTTTTGATCAATTTCAAGGAGACGTCGATCAACCGGTACACTGTCTGTAATAAACGCTAATCTTTGATTGTTATATGTGACAATGTAAATTTTTACACCCCGAGGCAAACATAATCGTAAAAAGAAGCGATGAAAAATGCAAAACAACGGAGACAAAATAAATTAAAAATAAAACACAACGTGAACTATTTGTGGGAAAACAAAATTGTTTGCGTGCCTGTGCTTGAAAACAACATAGTATAACAATAAATTTTACTTACGAGCAAAAACCAAACCAAGTACCAATACATGGTAGGAGATACATAAGATAGATAATTTAATCATTTCTTATGGGTTACCTAACGCTGCAAGTGATACTGATCGTTGTGGAGGAAGAAAGTATCAGACGTCACTGAGATATTTCCCAAAGTGTTCCGAATTTGAATATCTTAATATTTAAATTTTCGGTGCGCTTAATGTTGTAACCGATGCGCCTGAAATTAGAATACCGCCTGGCATTTTGCGTTTATATAGTAACCGAAGCCAGGGTCAACTGGTTCCCTGACCAGCCTTAACTTTATGTCGAACATCTAACTAATCATTTTCATGATTTTTCGCATAATTTTCCTTCCACGTATCTCCTTTTTTACGGGGTAATAACCATTATACCTTCATCCTATCAGTTAAACAAATTTTAGTGTTTATACATTTATTTTCTGTAATTACCAAGAGCATTTATTTTATGCTGTCGTGAGGAGAAATTATGGGGGATATCCTCTTACTTTTCTTTTTGATATAAGATTCACTTTGAATATTCACTAAATACTCTTTATTTTAAGAAAAGTGTTTTGGATAACTTCCATTGATAAATAAAAATGCGCATTTCATGTCTCACGATTTCAAATAGTTCCGATTAATTTTTTATGATGCCTCGCATATTTACAACTGTTTTTGCATTAGTATAGATTAGATTACGGAATTTACATAATTCTATGATGCAGTTGATAAATCTTATATATATATATATATATATAGAACTCAAAGACGTCTGCCCGTGTCAGTTTTCAATTTGAGAACTACTAGGGTTAGAGTCTCGCTAAGAATAACTCAAAAAGTTGTGTTTGTGGTCAGTAGTCGGAGTCAAAAGTTACAGAGGTTTCAATATTTCCTTCAATTTTCCGCATTCTCTCAACGATACGTAATGTGTCGGCACAGGCACTAAACCCGGGAAAATTAAAAAAGAACAGCGAGTGAAAAAGTGGAAGAAGCGATCAAGTTTTGATCTTTCCCAATTTTTAAAATCGCGGCTTCTCTTTCTTTTTCATTCGCTCAGATCACATTTATTTATTCCGAACCTGACAATTTCATTGGTAAAGATTTCATCTAGTAATAAAATAATTTTTAACAAAAAAAACATCCGACTTCGAAATGCACTAAAAAGTGTAAAATTATTTCTATTTCATTTATACCAATATTCCATAGCTATTAATAATATCTACTTAATCGTTAAATAGGATACCAAATACATTTCAAAGTTTTCGGAGGCGGCGCAAAATTATGAACTTTTCCTCTACTAGGAAGATCCTAACTCGGGCGTCGGCAACCTATGATAAATCACCCATTTGATAATTTCAAGTAAATAATATTCAACGGGAATCAACAAACCCATTGCGAATTAACTATACTGCAGTTCACGAGTGACCGCACTTAACTCGCGCAGCTAGTGACCTACTGAGGTCTAGGGAGATTTTTAATAGTGCGTGTGATTCCCCTTTACAGCTTGCTTCTTACTTTGCGTTCACATCATTTTTTTTGCGACAAATAATAGGAATTTCATTGTATCCTGAAACTTTACAATATCATCACCAGTTATCAGTTATCGTACGTCATATATTTCTGCCCACCATTTATATGATCGCAACGTATAATAAGAAGCAAGCTGTAGAGGAGAATAACACAGGTTATTAAAAATCTCTCTAGACCTAATGAGCGGCGCGAGTTAAGTATGGTCTCTTGTGAACTGCAGTATAGTGCATGTACATCAGGAGGGCTGCTAATTTCTCATACAATCGTTACAATTACAAATGTTTTCAGCCGGACCTATAATTTCTCTCTTACGACTTATTAATTACCAAGTTTGCCATACCGCAATCAAATCGTTATTGGCAGCATCGTTTGTTCGGGTATTTTTAATTTTGCGCCGCCTCCGAAAACTTTGAAATGTATTTGGTATCCTATTTAACGATTAAGTAGATATTATTAATAGCTATGGAATATTGGTATAAATGAAATAGAAATTATTTTACACTTTTTAGTGCATTTCGAAGTCGGATGTTTTTTTTGTTCAAAATTATTTTATTTCACACTTTTTAGTGGAACCAATAGTATTTGTAGGATAGTGTAAGGCGATTTTAGATTTCTGTTGCTTAATTAATAACCATACACCGAAAAAAAATTGACCGAATTTAAGTTGTTAATAAACAACAAATTTCATAAATTTTTACGAGTGAGATTATCGCGGATATACAGGGTGTCACGCGACTATCTCGACAGCCGAAGAGGGATGATTGCTGAGGTGATTCTAAACAAATTTTTCCTTTGCCAAAATGTTGATTCATTTTCGAGTTATCAATACAAAACACCGACCAATCCGAGCGCGTACAGTGCGCGGGCTCAGGGACTGCAATGTCGGCTACGAAAACCGGGCCTGACGTAGGTCGCAAACGAACGGCTCGGCACCCTGTTGGCATAGCACAATAAAAAAACTGAACTGGTAGAACATTTTTAGTCGTTTAAAATGAATACGGAACCTAATCTCTTGTCGCCTGTCATAATGTAAAAACGGAAATTCGAGGTATTCTAAACAACAAATAAAAATGATTGAAATGGAATAATTAATAAACGTTTGAATTGTAGGCTACGTTAATGATGAAAAATTTGAAAACAATTTAAATGAAACTTTCGCGTTCGTTCCTAAATTAACCTGCTACGCTGAAAGCAGATAATTGTCACTGGGAAACGAGGAAACACGTTCGGTAGAACAGCTGTTTTCATGATCGGGCCAGTGAACTACCCTCATTTATTTCACTTAGGTATGAATAATAGGCGAGGTGTTTCCTCGTCGAATGTTCACAATCGACACAGTGACCTAGTGGGAATTATTTGCTTTCAGCATAGCAGGTTAATTTAGAAACGAATGGGTAAGTTTCATTTAAATTGTTTTCAAATTTTTCATCATTAACGTAGCCTCCAATTCAAACGTTTATTAATTATTTCATTTCAATCATTTCTATTTGTTGTTTAGAATGCTCAGAATTTCCTTTTTTACATTATGACATGCGACAAGAGATTAGGTTCCGTATTCATTTTCAACCAGTTCAGTTTTTTTATTGTGCTATGCCAACGGGGTGCCAAGCCGTTCGTTCGCGACCTACGTCAGTCCCGATTTTCATACCAATCAGTGCAGTCCCTGGAACTGCGCGCTATACGCGCTCGGATTGGTTGGTGTTTTTTATTATTAACTCCTATTAACACCCTGTATATCCTACTAAATATGAAAGATTTCACCGCGAACGATACATTCCTTGCAGAGTAACATGAAGGATTTATTTCTATAACAGTAGTTATTAACAAATTCCATAAATTTTTGCAAGTGGGATCATCGCGGATATACCTCCTACTAAATGTGAAAGGTTTCATCGCTATCGGTACATTCCCTGCAGCATAAACGCCGGAAGATATAAATGAAGTATTACGTATTTTGCGATAAAAGTCGTTAGGAATGAAAAAATACAAAAATTTCTTTGCAGGACCAATTGGAAGATATACTCTACAAGATGCAAAATTTTCAATCCGACTGGTCCATCCGTCTCGCGGTAATCGGTGAAAAATGTAAATCAAGCATTACGTTCTTGCAAAAAAATCGTTAGCAATGAAAAAATGCAAAATCCCTTTCTGACGGGGCCAAGTGGGAGGTATACCCTACAAGACTCGAAAAGTTTCGTTCCGATTGGTTCATCCGTCTCACAGTAATCGGCGACCGTACGCCGCACGTACATGAAATAGTACGTTTTTTTGCAATAAAAAGCGTTCGGAGTGAAAAAATATAAAATGTTTTTTTAACGGGACCAATCGGGTGACATACTCTACCAGATGCAAAAGGTTTCGTTCCGATTGGTCCATCCGTCTCGACGTAATCGGTGAACATACATAAAGAAAAAAAAAGAAAAAAAAACATACACATCGAATTGAATATCCTCCTCCTTTTCGAAGTCGGATAAAAAAGTAACATATTTTTTTTCTCATTAATGCGAACACAATGCAATTTGTATTTATTGACACGATTACGATAGAACGGGTTCAAGGATATATTAAAATTTATACATTTTTTCAATCATGATCGACTGTTCTTTCTTTATTAAGCTGTTGTCTTATAACATGAAATTGTTATTTTATGATGTTCGAAAGTAATGTTTATCAGAGTGTCAAAGTATTAAGGTTCCAATTTACTGAGTATCCATGGAATAAAGTCAATTACTCTGGTGTAAACAGCGGGCCAATCTGGGAAGCCACAAGGTGATGGTCCGAAGGAGACAACACCGACGGCGGTCCATCGACCGATACCATCACTTCCTTTTTCCTCGCTCATCAAAGGACCTCCAGAATCTCCTGAGCAGGAATCTTCCCCTTCCACACCACCGGCACAAATCTGTCCGAATCCTAGCGTCACTTCTGCTCTACTGTATTTCCGCTCGCATTGTTGCTTGTTGACGAGCGGCACAGAAACTTTCAACTTGATATTCGAGCGAGATCCATTCTCGGTTTCTCCCCAACCAGCAACAAACAGTTTATTACCGATAGCGTCGTTGGATGGCAAGCATATCGGTTTAATGTAATTCGTGAACGGAATGTCACGGTCCAACCTTAGAAGAGCAATATCGTATTTTTCATCATCGTTCGTGTACTTTTCGTGAACGATTTGTTTCTCGATGCCGGCAGTGATAGCATCATCAGCGCAAACCTTGCTATTCGCTTTATCCTTGATGCAGTCAGGATTGGTTCTAGTGTCGTACTCGCCTAACCGGACTTTCGCCAATTTCCACCCGACTGGTATAATTGTGCCCTTCAGGCAATGAGCTGCCGTTAGGATGTAACGATGACTGATGAGGACGCCACCGCAATTTGCACTCTGTTTGTTTCCTGATAAATAAATTTTTATGTAGAATGTCGATCCTCATTCGATAAATATATTATGTTTTAAAAAGTTCGTACCTGAACTGTATATCAGAAGCGCCAACCAAGGAAATTCATTGATATCCGTGTGTTTTCCACCGACGATTCTCTCAGACAGACCTGTTAGCATTAGTTATTTTGTTAGAAGACTTATGGTTTAGTTATTTTAATAGAAGTATGGGTCTGAGGTGACACGTTTGGCGGCATAGACCTCTTGAAAAGGGTATTGTATCGCCAGTGACCGGAACCTTTAGGCCCGATACACACTATCGGTCCGGTCCCGGTCCGGTCTCGAAAATTCCGATTTTTTTTAAAGCTTTGTAGGTTTGTAGGGGCCCTCAAGAGAAGTATAGCGCAATTTTTGTTTTTGGCCCAATTTCAGTTCTGTGTCGAAGCGGACTGTGTCAAAAGACACGACACTTACCCGAGACTTTAGGCTCGATCGCCATCTTTGACGGATCTTTGCCGCAATCGGAGGGTAATGAAGGATTCTTGGACAGATCGAACTGCAATTTTGCATCTTTCGTCCCATCAGCTCCGCCTGAAAGATCGGGGTTTTCGTTTTGAATCGGGCAACAAACTCGGGAATCATTACCATTAAAACCACACTGTGAATGCCTTAAAAATTCTATAGCTTCTGGCTTAAGCGGAGAGGTTTGCAAAATAGTCAATAGCTATGGATATTGCCGTAATCCTATGCACACCGTGCGGTAATGTGCAATTCGATTGCCTTTCGTTTTCTACAAGAGAAAATTAAATTTTCGGAATGTAAAAACTGTTTGAATTGAATATGTGACCTTGTATCATGCAAATGTCGTAATACCGTCTTCGTATGTTTTATTTCCCGCTATTAGTTTTGATCAATTTCAAGGAGACGTCGATCAACCGGTACACTGTCTGTAATAAACGCTAATCTTTGATTGTTATATGTGACAATGTCAATTTTTACATCCCGAGGCAAACATAATCGTAAAAAGAAGCGATGAAAAATGCAAAACAACGGAGACAAAATAAATTAAAAATAAAACACAACGTGAACTATTTGTGGGAAAACAAAATTGTTTGCGTGCCTATGCTTGAAAACAACATAGTATAACAATAAATTTTACTTACGAGCAAAAACCAAACCAAGTACCAATACATGGTAGGAGATACATAAGATAGATGATTTAATCATTTCTCATGGGTTACCTAACGCTGCAAATGATACTGATTGTTGTGGAGGGAGAAAGTATCAGACGTCACTGAGATATTTCCCAAAGTGTTCCGAATTTGAATATCTTAATATTTAAATTTTCGGTGCGCTTAATGTTGTAACCGATGCGCCTGAAATTAGAATACCGCCTGGCATTTTGCGTTTATATAGTAACCGAAGCCAGGGTCAACTGGTTCCCTGACGAGCCTTAACTTTATGTCGAACATCTAACTAATCATTTTCATGATTTTTCGCATAATTTTCCTTCCACGTATCTCCTTTTTTACGGGGTAATAACCATTATACCTTCATCCTATCAGTTAAACAAATTTTAGTGTTTATACATTTATTTTCTGTAATTACCAAGAGCATTTATTTTATGCTGTCGTGAGGAGAAATTATGGGGGATATCCTCTTACTTTTCTTTTTGATATAAGATTCACTTTGAATATTCACTAAATACTCTTTATTTTAAGAAAAGTGTTTCGGATAACTTCCATTGATAAATAAAAATGCGCATTTCATGTCTCACGATTTCAAATAGTTCCGAATAATTTTTTATGATGCCTCGCATATTTACAACTGTTTTTGCATTAGTATAGATTAGATTACGGAATTTACATAATTCTATGATGCAGTTGATAAATCTTATATATATATATAGAGCTCAAAGACGTCTGTCCGTGTCACTTTTCAACTTGAGAACTACTAAGGTTAAAGTCTCACTAAGACTAGCTCAAAACCATTGTGTTTGTGCGTCTCAGTGGCCGGAGTAAAAAGTTACAGAGATTTCAATATTTCCCTCAATTTTCCACATTCAGCGAGTGCGAAAGAACAGCGAGTGAAAAAATGGAAGAAGCGATCAAGTTTTGATCTTTCCCAATTTTTAAAATCGCGGCTTCTCTTTCTTTTTCATTCGCTCAGATCACATTTATTTATTCAAACCCTGACAATTTCATTGGGAAAGGTTTCATCTAGCAAAAATAAAAAATAATAAAGTTTAATTGTTGAATTAGTATCGTTTCACCGATGTTGTTTTCGGTTGCTTTGATTCTTTGACACGGGCTCTATGGAGCTCTATAGAACAGTTATACACTCTCGTGAAACAAAGTATAAATACGCGAGGGACGAACGGGTTATACCTAGTTTATAAATAAAAGTCGCGAGCCGGAAAATCTTTGGAGGGCTGAATTCGTCCCCGGATCCTAGTTTGGTAACCGCTACTCTAGACCACACTCAACATTCTTCCACAGAAGAAAAATGTGCGAAAATCCAACATACAACGTTTTTCCCGTCTCCCATTCATTTCTGTACGAGGGTTAATGAACTGTTACTCGGAATACTGGAGTAATGATACACTCGCTAATTGCTGATTACTGATACCGATACCGACACTGACATACTGACACTCGCATTAACACTGACATTGCAATTGATGTCTATTACCGATCAGCGATTACTGCTACCGATACTTTAGCATTGACACCGATGCTGATACTAATTGCTAATTGCTGACACAGATACCAACACTATCGGTGAATGTCTAATCAGCCAAATTGCGTTTCGATGGGACGTTTCGTCGACACCTTGTGTTCCTCTCTTTGAGAAATCCTCGGATCAGAGGGGCGCTATTAACCGGCAATTAAGCGATATTGCCAATGAGGGCAGACAGAGCTTGAATATCGCACGTGCGAGGATTAATTCCGTCCCATCGTTCATCACTGCCATCTGCACGCTCGCTGTTTCGCGAAACACGCGAACAAAAGGACACGCACGATGTAGAAGCGAAATCAGTCATTAATCACGCGTTCGTTTCACGTTCTTTCGCTTCTTTCCCTTCTTTCGAACCTGTCCAGTATCCCTCTATCCACCGCTCACCGATACGACAGCGGGTAATATTTTCTGGACGATGTTTCTCCTCGGTTCTTTTTTCACCAGGTGCCTCTAAAAAGAGTCGCTTTTAACTTTATTGATTGTTGATCGCTCGCACAGGGACAGGGATATTTACTTTCATCCTTCTTCTGCAATTAATCGGCTTTTCGACGAGGTACGGTTAATGGATCGTCTACAACCGAACAGGTGTCCGAAAGGTGAAAAGTTGCTGGGAAACGGGGCGTGCGAGTCGTTAGAAAAGTTTCTCCCGGTGTCTCGTCAAAGCCGAGCGAACCCGTGGCTGAAAGAGGGATGTCAGCAAATTGAAGAAAGGGTGGTAGTAAAAGGATTTCAACGGTAAACCCTTTCCTCTGTCTCTGCCCCTCGCGGAACTTGGTCTCTTCGATAGAAGTATAGGGGATCAACAAAATCCTCTTCGAAGAAATTGCACCGTTACTCCGAGTTCGAATTCTCGAATCCTCCTCCTCTTCCAATGAAAAGTTCAATTTTCATTTATATCTTCCCTGTTGCTTTGTCCGGTTGAATATTCCGCGCTTCTTACGATTGTTATTCTTGTTCAATTCTAACGCGTCTTCGAAAACAAGGAACTTCAGGTCCGGTGAATTCGTTTGTTTATCAGGAGTGTCACTTATTTTTATTCGCGGCGCTTTCATCGTCACCCGAGGACGTCTGAATGCGACATTCCAGACGTGACATGCTCGCGACGCGGCTGTTTTTCATGCCAGGCGACATTCATTAAACTGAAAAGCGTTGTTGTTTTTCTTCTTTCTTCTTCATTCACCCGCCATCCCTATCCGGGAGATAAAAGAGTCGCCAGAACGAGCGGCGCGAAGGGAAAGCGACGAAAGAGAACCAAAAACTCCACCGGCAGCGATAGGATTAACGCCATATTTTGTTTTAATCGCTCGCAAAGGATTACGTATCGAGAAGCGTAAAGGATTTACGCGTTCGGATGAAATAAAGTCGGGACACTTACGATGACGGATGGTTGCTGTTTTATTGAAGGAGCAAACGAGAATTTAAGAGAAAGGGGGAAAAGTTTTATTTCCGAAAGCGATGGAACAGTCATTTTGACCGAAGTCAGCCGGTAAGGTCCAACTTGTAAAAAGAAGACATTCTTCTTCGTCAGAAATAATAAAGAAAAAGGAAAGAAAACGCGGAGAGAGATTGAAAAGCTGCAGTTTTCCTTGCGCTCACCCTTAGGCGAAACAGGCTCGACGCTCGAGCGAAATCCTTCCCCGTAAAAAGGACAAGAACTTTCGGCTGGAAAAGTGAAATCCATGAAAATCGTCCCCGGTAATGCCTTCGTTCGTGCCTCCTCGTGTATCATAGCGCCAACCCCATTTCGGTTCTCGAAGCGAACCTGACGCAAACCGAAAGGAAGAAGTGTCTGCCGGATAGGGGAATGATTTAGCAACCCCTCGTTTGCGTCTGCAGAAGTGGCCTGGTTGAAAACCTGGGTTGAACGAACCCTCGCGAGCAGCAGGCCACCTACGTTGACGTGGATCTACATGAAAATGAATGCACGCACTAGGTTTGCTCGTAGGACGATGATAAATGGTGGCGTTTTATGGGTAGCCGTACGATGTAACCGTGTGCCATCAACCGATGGCCACCGCTCGAACTGAACACCTCGTGATCGCCACGTGAAAATTATACCCCATAAAGCGTCGACCGCTGTCAAGCTTTGGTCCTTTTTGACGAGCGAAATATGATCGAGAGGTGGTCGGGACACTCCTAGAACATGTTCCTGCCTTCTCCTCTTTTATAGCACGAGTTAAAATTATTCAAGTTTTCTTGGAATCGAGTAGAAATTGTTCGTTTACGTGAAGTCTTCTCAACCCTTTGACTGCTGAGTACTCCAGGCTTGAACGTTTCGTGTGTACGAAATAAGGATCAAGTCGATAACACATCACTTTTCTTTTTATTTCATTTAATTTCTTAGTTTATTTTTTTCATTTTTAGTGTTTTATCACATGTGTAATTATTACAGTAATATGGATTGATAACTTTTATTTGATTATGATTAGAATATACAAAAATCAAACTATACTTCCACCTGACGCATATGTGCGTCCATAGCAGTCAAAGGGTTAACCCTTTATCGACGCGTGTAACTTTGAGGTAACATATCAAATTTCTGTGGTAATTTAAAAATATTCTTCCTCATCTTTTTCACTGTGCACCATTGCGACTGAGTAAAATGGCGTATACAGTTATTAACCCTTTTCCTAAAAGAGTAGAAAATATAACAATAAATTATAACTCTATATTTTATTATTTAACCCTTGAACAGCGTAGTCTGGGCCAGTCGTGTCCCAAACAAGGATATTACCTAAAATTAAATGTATAATTTTTAAACAATAGAGCTTCATGTATTGAAAGAACAATTTTTAAAGGGACAGTGTAAAGTTTAGAACATGAAAATAATATGACGTACTGAATTAACACTAGAACTACCAAAGGATTCAAAATTACTGGTTTCCAGTTTCTTATTTTAAACGATATTATAAATTTTATAGAGATACTTTTGTTGAAATGTATGCTGGCTATTATCGAGCTAAAAAATGCATTTTTATCTATTTAGTAATCTACATTATTTTCAATTTAGAAATAAGTGTGCATCAAACGTTGGTAGTTCTAGTGTTAAATTAGTGGCTCTCTCCATGGTCCGCCATCCGAGGATTAAGAAACGCATTACATTATTTTTCTTACATTTTTAGGAAAAGGATCAATCATTGTACAAAGGTCAACAACTGTATACGTTACTCTACCGTAATAATTAAATTATATATAGAATAATGGAGCAAGTCCTGTGTTTTAAAGTTTCATTATTAATTAACAATAGAAAATTCGACCTATAGAGTGCTAACATTTTGATTATCTTGTATCGTAATCCTTGCTAAGTATTCCTAAGGATATTTCTGTTCAACGTCGTATCGTCATGCAGTCTATATCTATTTTAAACAGACCACCTGTGAAAGGTTGCATCGATCAGTCTTCGATCGATCCATTGAACCGTTCATTCGTCTCCTCCGCGCGGAAGAGATCACCTTGACTATCATTATTCCATCGCTGATAGAGATGATCATCCACGTTGCAACGAGTCATCATCCTGTCCTCGCGTTCCGATCACGGCTGCTTAATGATTCTTTCACAAGCCGCTGACCAAAGAGCGGGAATCTTGAACATCCTTGTGCGAACCACTGATTAATCCGTCGATTACGAGGATGCGATTATCGGATAATCAGTGAATCAGCCTTATACCGGTGCGTGTGCCCGGGAGCACAGTGATTGGACATCGATGTCGGATATAATTATCGACAAAGGTGTGGTCTTCGTCGATGCAGCCCGCCGGAGTGCCGGAAATTGACGTTACTAATGAAGATGCATAGTTTGCAAACCACGAATCCACTGAAACATCTGTCCGTACCGTATGGGCAGAGCGATCCAGTGTAAATTTATTTTCCTATTTTGGAATTAATTATACTATTGTGGGATTTGATGATGGTAAGGCGGGAACGGATTCTGGCTCGATTGGAATTAGATAAAGATTGTAACAGTTAGAAAACTAAACTGTGATAAAATTCAACGATTGAACGACTAGAGGTGTGGGAGTACTCGATTTTGTTTCAAGCAATTCGTCGATTTCGAGTAATTCGGTAAATTCAAGCGCTCGGCTCGGTTCGACCGACCAATCATTGTTTGACTCGAAATTCGAGTACTCGAATAAATCGAGCACTCGTAATTTACAAGCCAAGCTGAACTCGCTTCGATTGTTTGAACCGAGTCGAGCGCTTGAATTTGCCGAGCTACTCGAAATTGACGAATTATTTGAAAGAAAACGGGCTACTCGAAAAATTCGAGCTGAAATCTAATGGTCATTCGAAGCTACCGCTCGTACCCTCAAGTGACCCACGCAGAAGTATGAGGGGTCCTATTAATGACCGTAGCAAGTAATAAACCCAAGGAGCACCTCGACTTTTGATGGACATCTGGTTAACATCTATAAATATCAAGTAAATCAAAGTTTTACGAGGGCTCGAATATTCGAGTAGCTCGATTTTTTCGAGTAGCTCGCTTTTCTTTCAAACAGTTGATCGATTTCGAGTAGCTCGGCAAATTCAAGCATTCGACTCTGCTCGAACAATCGAAGCGAGTTAAACTCGATTTCTAAATTACCCGTTACGACCCGTTTGTAAAATCCTCGCTTCGCCAGGCCTGCAGGCTCTCGACGGGTCACCATGACCCTGTCGTAAATAATCTTAACCTAAAGTAAACGTATTCCTATGAATAAACTTAATACTAGAGAATGTCTACTAACCTACACCTTGCTCCGAAATTGTCCATTTTCGCTAATTACTTTCGGTCCCGGCGACTTCGTATTCGAATAAATTCGCGTACAAACGGGTCCTTTTACCTGAGAACGCAAAGATCTCCGCCTGCAGCATTCAGGAGGAGATTAGCCGATGACAATCCGGAGATGGAGAAAGAGGCGAACTTTCCAGACACAAAGCGGTCGGATGTTTCTCGTTACAGCTGAAATCTTTGTCTGTTTACAGGGAACGAAACTATGGATTATTATGGAGTACTTGGGTGGTGGCTCGGCCCTGGACTTGATGAAGGCCGGTAGCTTCGAGGAAATGCACATCGCGGTGATATTGCGCGAGGTGCTCAAAGGGTTGGATTATCTTCACAGTGAACGGAAGCTTCATCGTGATATTAAAGGTGCGTTCACCCCAACAATAATAAGCTTTTCCATCTGACAAATGCAATTCACGGAAATTAGATTTATTAGCCAACCCGTATCTAAAATTGAAAATCATGAGCATTTAGACTTTCTGTTACTTTTCGCTCTTCTCTTGATTTTTTCCTTCAGAAAAAAATATCAGAAAGGCTATAGATAGTAGACTCTTTTAGTTCCTGAGATATGAACATCCAAAGTTGGAATTTCGACTTGATTTTGACTTTCCCAATCAAGAGAAGAGCGACTTGTTTTCTTTCGGAAAGGAGATGGCTATCCCCAATACGTTAGTTGACCCCCATGGTCCCAGCAAATTTTTACTCTATGGAATCCATAGAATAGGCAGCCAAGATGATATGTACCAAGTTTTATCCAAATCGATTAATGGGAACATGGTCAAAATGGCGGCCAAAGTTGACCCTTTTAACATGGGGCTTTATGGGGAGTGGTTGAAATCGTGCTTTCGGCATCCTAGTTTCCGGATATGTTAAACTAGACGATAATACCTTTCAAATGAGCCCATGAGCATCAAAATCGTCAAATAGGAACTTGATCAAAATCCGCTGAGTAGTTTGGTCAGAAATCCACTTTAAAGATTTTCTTCATTTTTTCACAACGGGTTTTGACCAAGTTCCCGTTTGACGATTTTGATGCTCATGGGCTCATTTGAAAGGTATTATCGTCTAGTTTAACATATCCGGGAACTAGGATGCCGAAACTACCACTCCCCATAAAGCCCCATGTTAAAAGGGTCAACTTTGGCCGCCATTTTGACCATGTTCCCATTAATCGATTTGGATAAAACTTGGTACAGATCATCTTGGCGGACTATTCTATGGATTCCATGGGGTAAAAATTTGCCGAGACCATGGGGGTCAACTACGGTATTGGAGATAGTCATCTCCTTTGCTGGTGTACAGACTAAACGATAAGAGTTATCGAAAAAATTCTTGCGCAATTATGTTTATGGCTGAAATTTTTTTTTTCCACTTCCGGTCTGACCGGAAATGACCGAAAGAGGGTTGGTTCTAGTGCGAATCTCGCTCTAGTTCACTTTAGCTTGTTCCGAATCTCCGATAAGATTTATATCCATAATATCTTTGTTATTCGTTTTAAAGCGGCGAACGTTTTGTTGAGCGAAATGGGCGACGTTAAATTAGCAGACTTCGGTGTGGCTGGCCAATTGACCAACACGACCAGTAAAAGGAACACTTTCGTTGGTACACCGTTCTGGATGGCACCGGAAGTCATCAAGCAAGCTTCCTACGATTCCAAGGTAAGCACGCTTGCAGACCACGAAGAAACCCGTTCGGGGCATATTTTTATTCCTGCAGCATCTCGTTTTGCCGAGGCTAATGCTCGCCAGGGTACAGTCGGCTCACGTAGCCGGATAATTTAATTTTATTACTTACCTCTGACTTTTTCAACATCGTTACATTGTTTGTCTGTTTTCTGTATATTTATCAAAGACTTTAGTGTCTCTCCACCAGTCCAATCGTTCAAAACAAAGTTGTATTTTAAAGACAATGAAACGTTGGGTCGTTTGTTATCTGTTGTTAAGAAAATTAATATCTATAGGGTTATCCAAATTGAGTGTCACATCTTCAAATTAAAATAAAACGCAAAGTATTTGATTTTTGTATGCTTACTTTATTTTAGTAGAAAGTCTATTTTAGGACATTAATTATGAAAAACAATATCATTCAACAGTCCTTCTTCGCTTTTTTTTGAGAGCTTGATACGTTTGACCAAATTTAGCGAACGCCAATTGCCACCAAGATTTAGCACCATTAGATTTTTGTATGGGGTTTATGGAAAGACTATTGACGAAATGAGCAACAAAATCGCTACTGATGAAATTGAATTCCACTTGTTTGAAAATATAATGAAAAATTGGGAGGCTCGTGAAAAGAGCCGAGGAGGACATTTAAATAATATCTATTTGTTTATTTATTTATTTATTTACTAAACGGGAATAAACCCTTTAATACAAATTTTAACGAAATAATAACAATAATAATAGCAATAATAATATTAATAACAACAACCTTCGCGCATATAAGGTACAGAATATAAAGGTACATAAATGTGAGTCTTTGATAATTAATATCAAACAGTAGGCTTTGTGTTAAAATAAAGGAACCACAAAAAAATCACATACTTTGCGTTTTATTTCAATTTGAAGATGTGACAGTCAATTTGGATAACCCTGTATTTCTGGATGACGGTTAAACCCTTGACCCTGACATAAATCACGAACAAACTGAACGGTCGTACGCGTGGAGAAAGGGTTAAAAGACCCATGGAGGAAGGAATTTCAGAGACTCCAAGTTTCGCGCGAAAAACAAACTGTCTCAGAGAGAAGGAGCTCTTGTCCTTGCGCGGAGCTGTTCATAAATTCTCGCAGGCAATTTCTGTAAGGCGCGAAGAACGGTCATGTCGTCGTTAGCGTGTCATTAGCACTTGTCGAGTGGTAAAGCGAAGAACTCTCGTTCCGCAGGCTGACATTTGGTCGCTCGGCATCACCGCGATCGAATTGGCGAAAGGAGAACCGCCGAACAGCGAACTGCATCCTATGAGGGTCCTGTTCCTTATACCGAAGAACAATCCGCCTCAACTAACCGGAAATTACACGAAACAGTTCAAGGAGTTCGTCGAGGCCTGTCTAAACAAGGACCCTGAAAACGTGAGTTGAATCTTTGTTCAACGCTGCAGAAACTAACTTTCCTGCATGTACACGGGAACGTTCAAGTGGCGGAACGTTGGTATCTTCATGCATAAAATGAATCCTGTATACGCGAACTTGATTAATTTACTATTACTTCTTGAAATTTTATACAAAATTAACCCTTCGTTAAAATTAAGCACGCAGCTATTCTCGTCGATAATCTATTTTTTAAAGATAGTACAAATCGTGGTAATAATTTCTTCTTGGTCGTTGCTTCAGAGGCCAACGGCGAAAGAGCTGTTGAAGTTCCAGTTCATCAGAAAGGCGAAGAAAAACTCGTACCTGATCGACCTCATAGACCGGTACAAAAAGTGGAAGTCGCAGCGCAGCGAGGAATCCGAAACGGAGAGCGAGAATTCGGACTCGTGAGTATCCTTCCTGGGCACCGAATTGCCTAAGGTAAACGGATTAGATGGAGGGAAACATGTCCTGTGATGTTGTTACAGGGAAGAGTCGAAGCAGGATAGCGACATGGACGAACCATGGATAATGACCGTGAAAGGTCCACACGGTGTCAAAGGATCCGTGGTACCCATGCTACCGTTGGACGAGCAACCAGCCTCGTTAACCTTAACACACACGCCGAACCACAGGTCCTCGAATCACAATCAGCAAACTAAGCCGCACGCCAACGGAGCCTCGAGATCTCCGCCAAAGGATTCCACGTTGAATCATTACAGGAGCGAGTCGAGGGACTCTGTTCGCGATGGTCAAGCGAAACACACGCCGGTGAGTCTTCCGTGTCCCGCAATATGGGTCAAAGTAGAATAAATATTATCGAAACAATTTCATTCGGAGGGGATTGTTTTATTTTTAATATCGCTGAAACGTTTAATCTCGTTTTTCAGTCCCGGCCACACGAGGCCGCGCCACCACCGCCCGTAGACACGCGAGAGAAACGAGAGGATCGCGATTACCGGGACTTCGATCGGGATCCCTCTTTGAGGGAATTGAAGGACACGCGAGACACCAGAGACAGCAGAGACAGAGAGAGGGACAGGGAAGGACGGGACAGGGAAAGGGAGAGGGATAGGGATAGGGGTAGGGACAGAGAGTTCAGTTCGAGAGAGAAGACAAGGAGCGGCAAACGGGATGTACCTGTCGTACCTATGGCAGACCATAGGCCTGGTGAAGAGAAACAGAGACCGAGGAGCTCCCAGGAACTGAAGCATCCTCGAAGCGCAGCTTTTTCCGGTGTCCTTTTACCTCTCCTTGCCGAGGTAAATTCTTTTCTCTAGCTAAGAATCTTTAAAATCGCTGAACCACCGGTTTCGAATTCGATCACCAACGTTACTCGGATGTCCGGATCGCTCGGTTCTTGGACGAAATTCATTCCCTTCTGTCTATTGTATCGCAGCTTCAACGGAAGCATCAATATTCGGCAAGAGACAATAACGGCGAGGGCGGAAGTGGTATAGGCAAGAATGGCGGATCCACGATAGAGGAACTACGCAGCGCCTTTGAAACAGCGGAACGCGCTTCACCTGGAATGACGGAGACCCTTATCAGGGAACTCCTTAAGTCTTTACTTCCTGCCAATCACTCGGATGGCCGTTTGTCTATGCTGATGGAAAAAGTAATCCTAAGGTAACCATTCTGGTCTAAGAAATATCGACGTTAACCTTTCGTCGAACGCAATCGATCAGACAGGTATGATTATACAAAAGTTTGCATCGACTTTCTAAATAGAAAATGGCTGGTTGTCAGTTATAGCAAACAATGGAGCAGAGGGAGGTTCGTGTATTGTTCTTTCATGAAATTCAATCGAGGTACTCTGCAACAGAGGCTATCGGTAATTTAATACAATATTATAGAGAGGGTTCGGTTAATGAAAACATAATACAGCATAGACTTTGAAATTTCCGAGCATGTTTCGCCAATAAATTCTATGTTCAACTATGAAAGATTTAACGAATTAATCTGCAGTGGCGGCTTGTAGCTAAAATTAGTGGGGGTGCTGCTTTAGAAAATTTGTAACCTTTATTTTAAAAAATCGGCACTGCAGGAGCGACAGTGCTTCTCTCCTGCGCAGCCTCGCGCGCAGCTTCTTATGTGCGCATGCGCATGCTGGAACTGGGAAACGCACAGTTCCATACAAAGATTTTTATATCTTTTTCATAAACTGAGGGATGACTACTGATATTAAACTTAAGGATTATAAATTGTACAAGTATAAAGAACGAATTAATGAAAAAAGAACTCATTAAATGTTATCGATAAGAGCTGCAGTTCCACAGTGCCTATACGCGAGCCGCCACTATTAATCTGTCATTGCACTTCGACGGAAGGTTAAATGCAACTTGGATGGAGTATGAAAATTGTGCTTTTTTTCAGGGATACGTAGGGACGCGAGAGGGCGAGGGTTCGCAAGAGATTGTGGTCCGAAAACATCCTGACGTTGTAACGATCCGTTATATCTCGTTTAACAGAGTTATTATTCCGTACGAGCCGGTACGTTGTTGACGATTGCCAACTCCGAACGTGAGAGGAGAAGTAGAAGAAGAACGTCGCCGCAACGACCCGGACATTTTTCTTTACCTTTGGTCCAGCGTAGGCTAAACTAAGGCAGCCGAACTCGTCATAGAGCGTTCTTTATTCCGTCTTCGTTTCTTTCCAATTCGATGCAAAGTATTCGTGGATTAGTTGCAACACGAAGCTTTGTTTGAAAAATTACCTCGTTCCAAAATACGAACGAACGAATTTTCCATTTTAACCAGAGAAACTTAGAGATTTATCTATCGCAGTATAAAGAAAAAGAAAATGAAAAAAAAAAAATGAAATTATACCATCCAATTGTCCTCGTACGAGGACTACAGTTACCGTTATATAAAAAAAAAAAGAATATTAGTCCCCCACCTATCCTCGATCGTTAAAGATTAGTATTTGAAAAAAATTAAGAGGAAAAAGCAAAGAAAATGTAGGAGATAGTTGAGAAATATTTTTACAAATCGTGCAACCACCCGTTCAGGATTCTTCGTACGTTCTTCGTGTTCGGTGTTCGACGCATCCTCAAACAGCGAAAGATGATGTAGCGTAGATTTCAACAAACGTGTCTGGTGTATAACAAGAAAAAAAAGGGGGGGAGGGGGGGGGTTAATCGTTGAAGGTATCATCTTGCCTCGTTGTAGATACATCCGGAACATGCACTATCACCCATATCACTAGAATGTCTTAATCGTTTCTATCTCGCGTTGATTCCTTTTTAAGTGTTCGAAAACGAAACGCTTTGAACGGACTGTAAAGTCGGACAATATTTATTTAAGCGGTTTATAACTGAACGGAGGGGGAGAAAGTTGAATTAGCAGGGGCAGAGGAGAACTGCTGTTTAAACGAACGCCTTCATGTTGCTTCCTGGCGTTAGTGCACGTTTCGGATCCGATGGAGAATCGAGAAAGGAAGAAGAGCAGCGCCTCCGCGATCCGGAGGCTTTGTAAATATGTATGTAGCACGATAAGATAGTCTTATTGTTCTAACGATCGACGTCTCTGCCAGTCGGTTGCGCAGCTCCGTAACGCGATCCTCTTTTACCCTACACTTTCTACCATTAACAAGGAACATCAGCTAATTGCCCTCTCCCGATTTTTATGAAAAATTCGCAGGCTTGTAGAACAGGCAAAAAAAACGCGTTATTCAAAGAATAATTTCACCCCCTTAAAGTTGAATCTCCATCAATATAAAATAATAGTTAACTCTTAGTTTCGTCTGATCTGAAAGCCTGCAAAGTTTCATTCAACTTAAAACTACCCCTTTGGCTGATATTTCTTGTCCATTTCCGTCTCAACGAAGCAGAGTGCGCGAAGGGTGGAAATTCATTGTCAGACGCGAGTTCGATTAAGAAAACATAGCGGTAAGCGGTATTCTATTCGAGCGAGTGGTAGCGCGCGAATCACACGGAGAATCTATGCTTTTGTTTTTACTACTTTCACCCCCGTGAACAGGGTGTTCTTCCACTAGTTTCGCCCGGGTAGAGTTCTTCGTCGAGCCGTTCCACGATCGAGCCTGAGCTGTGATAACTCCCGCGAGACGTCGGCACTTAATCCACGTTGTTTGTAAACTAATGTATTTTATAAAGTATATATTATATATATAGAAAGAGAGAGAAAGAGGTACGAAGAAATTCTTCGTGAGGAAAGATAGAAAGCAGAGAAATTAAAAATAATCTCAACGGATACAAGCTGGATGATCGCGAACGATAACGTCCGTTCGTGTGCCATCCTTGCAGATTGAAACGAAGAAATTGTAAGAGGGTGATAGAATGAAAGTGAGAGAGAGAGAGAGAGAGCAAGGGAACGCGTGTGTGTGTAAAAGAGTGAGAAAGAGAAGAGAACGAAAAATAAAAGCGTTTAGCGTTGCGCGAGGGTGGAAGTTAACGTAAAAAGTTGTAACGAGAAGATTAGTATTAATTAACAGGAAATCGTGCTGAAACGAACAGAGAGGTGACAGAGAGACCTAACTATCGTAAGCACGCAAATACATGTTACGTAGTTGCGTTTTATTCCAGTCAGCGAGACGGTCAATGGGAGAGAACCGTATGAACTCCTGCGATTATTATTATTATCATTATTATTATTCTTATTATTATTATTATATTAACATTGCCGGCGACGATGAACGAGATTAATTGTTAGAACGTGAACACCTCTGATCTCCGCTTTTTACCACTCCCTTTTCTTTTCTTCTCTTTTTTCTCCTCCCTCCTCGATTCATTCTCCCGTCGTCCTTATCGAATTGTTCCCGTTCTTTTCCTTTCTTTTTATTCCTAAACCGAGAAGGAACGAAGAGACGGAAGGGAACAATATCGTAGGAGGATCTTTACTATTCTTTAGTTGAATTACCTTAGTTAATATCGCTACACTTGTCTTACTGTTAATATTACGAATTTATTCAAGTCTTTATTTGTTGTTTCACCGTTGGTTTAGGTTTTCTTTTCGATGACTTTTTACGACGGTCGCTACACCCCACCCCACCACCCCCCCTCACGAGTCATCCTCATGAAAAGCTGCCATAAACGCTTACCGGCTACGCTCTAAATAATAAAGAACTCAGAAAACTCGAAACAATTTTCAACGAATTATCTTCCCGTATCTCTTCTTCCGATCCTAGCAACGAACAACCACGCCGATACGGTTGATAAACGCGCGTCGATCCTTTCGATCGTCCGGATCGTTTAACTTTCTGGAATCGAACGAGTGCTGCTTCGATTTCTTTCTCGTCTGCTCGAACACTATCTCGATCGCGTGTCGAACGTATGGCTGTGTATGCGAGCGTGTTTTAACCCCTTGACGCATCCTGGCAATATTCTTTTCCTAAAATTAAAAATGTTATTTCGCGGCAAGGGGTTAATTTCCGGGGCGTAGCGGTCGATCTCTTGTGTCCAGACGGACGGATGACGGTCGGTCCATCATGGAAATTCTCAAAGGGGTGGTTCACCGCGGACGTTCATCTTCTTCGCAAATATTAGACCTTTTTTTCTCGTTTAACACGTTGACTACCGTAAAAATGATTATTCCGAGTCAACGCGTTGATCGCTTTCGACAGCAATAAATTAGATAGCGCGTTCTAGTTCCATTAATCAAGATTTTGACGAATGTTAATATTTAGACGGTGTCCGATAAAAATTCGAAACGTTCTCAAGAGAGTTCCTCTCTGAATTTGTGCACGCTCGTAGAAAACCGAGTCGAACATGTTTCTTTTATCTTTCGTTCCATAGCCATACGTTTACGAAAAAAGAGTATATTTTTGTTTTTTTACGTGAACCATGCTTTTATCGAATATTTACGAAAGATCGATCGTTCAAGCTTATCTTCCTTGTGTAAATCGTTTAAGAGCTGTGATTTCGAGTTTCGTTTTCTTTTATCAATTTGCATACACGACGATACAGAATGAGAATCGGAGATAGATCGCGATCGTTTCTATTGAAAGGCGATCTGCACCACGTTCAATCCGAATTACGTGTCCTACTGTAACCCAAGCACTCTTCTTTGTATTATATTCTTAGCTATTATCCAATAATATATTCAGCGTTATAACATCGTGGTAACAATAACATTAACTATCGACGTAGAATATAAATATATATATAAATACATATATATATATTTTTTGTATTTTACTTCTACCTTGGCTGCATTGGACTGTATTATATTGATTGTATGTGGCATGCTGAGGGCGTGTACAAATACGAAATAAAGATTAAATAAAATCAGGAAATATCGATGATTCTCTGTAGAACATATATTTCTGCGAGGCATTGTAAATATGAAAATCGATGGGTTATTTTCATCGTTGACTCGCAAACAACGGAAGACGTGGACGTGTAACGTATGCGAGTGAATTGCAGATTCTAGGAATGACCAGGCTGAACACGCCTTCACCAAGACTGCCTTCTGAGGGAAACGATGCACTGGTGCGTCATTCAGGAATAAATTTTCATTCAAGAATCTCTCAGAATTATTTGCCAAGAGGAATGGACGCTCGATGCAACAGTGAGTAATTGTAATTTATTGAAACAATACACATGGTAGCCCACGTGTGACACACCTATAATAACAGTCAACAAATTCTTCAGCTCCAGCTTGTTATCGATTTCTCCTATCGTCTGATTGGAATTTTGTTTTTCTACATCGAGGCAGGAGCTATTTTTAAAATGAACGAATTAAGAAAAAAATTATAGAGAGAAATCTGTGAAGAAATAAAGCAACGAATATACTACTCAACAATTAAGTTGCACCTGATTAACGAGAGCAATTGATTAGAAAAAATCAATTATTATGGAGAAAAGAGAAGAAAATGAAGCTGCTGCTTTGGAATCGAAGCGCAGAACCCCTTATCACGCGCGGTCGATAAAAGTCATCGGGTAGAAGAGTCTGTCCGCGATTGCCAAAAGGCGAGAGTGCAGTGGTGGAAAGCGCAGGTCCGTTGGCAAGGTGCGAGGAGGTAGGACGCGGGGGGGAGAAATCGGGAATAGAGGGACTTCCTCGAGGTACCCCGATGCAGTAGTCGACAGCATCCCGCGGGTGGTCGCGATCGACCAGTCAAGGGCGGGAGAGCCGGCGAGCAGAGGGTTCGAAGGGAACCCCTGTCTCTCCCTCGCTCCCTCTCTGTCTCTCCCTCCATATCCTCCGTCCTGTACGAGTTCGAAAAAGTGGCCGCTTTCGAGAGAAAGTTCCCGCGTGTTCGTGTGTTCATCGCTGCCACGCTTATTACGACAGCGGGGTGGTTTAAGTTCGTCTCGCGGAATAAACACGAGGAGGGTGACGACGCCCAGTCGACGAATTCGAGAGGCAAGAAACGGCGAAGAGACGTCGAACGACCAAGGCGAGTCCTCGAATCCTGGCACGTCTCCAACCCTACTCCGCGCCGCCAACCTGGCGACGTTCGATGTCGGCACACCAGACGACCAAGTGTGTCGTTGCTATTTTCAAGTAGTACGTATCACCGCCTCCGCCGGGCTTCGTAGGGCTTGCAAGCTTCGCGTCGTTACGCTGGTCCCTAGGCAAACACGCTGCCAAATAGGCTCTTCGCTCCGTAGCTGTTCCCGAACGGTCGGGACACTTTCCGACACGCGTTCCTTAAATACAGAGTACCTGCTGTCGATTGATTGCCTCCCCACGAGGCCACCGCGCGCTTCTACGCTTCCAGCGCGCACGTGCTCGCGAGTTCAAAAGCAGGGAACCACCTTCCTACGAAGGGTGTTATACCTTCTTTAGAAAATAATCCAGCTTGCGGGAAAGAAGTAAAGTTCGATGACTTGAAGAAGCTTAAATTCTAATGTAATCCATTTATGTTACACTGAACTCGAGAAACCTACGCGTTATTTATTCCACTGCGAGCATAATTTCTCTGAAAAATTTTGCTCCACATTTTTGACCTACTTTGGCGCCCATAGGATCCACCCCCTTTCCACTCGCGCATCGGTTACGCGACACCCCTACGTGTCCACGTTTTAATTGCTTATTTTTTTTTTACTCTCTCACCGCTCCAAAAAGTCAGCGATGTGTAATGCAGCCTTTTGTGCCCCACGAGGCTTCTGTGTGCGCGCGTAAAGCGCGACGAGGTACGCGTCAAAGCCGGCAGTGAATCTCCGCGGGCCGCAGAGCGCGGACGTTACACCGCGCGAATACGCTTCAAAACAGAGGACGATAACACGGGGCTTAGCGAGGTTCTTTTTTTTTTTTCCTCTCTTCTCACCTCGTTCGTGCTTCTTGGCTATTGATTCGTCAGCGGTCTCGCTGGAACGGTGGTTGCGAGAAGCATTAAAACCAAGGTATTCTTTAAGAATCCTACTTACTCGTGTCTTTTATTTCACACTGGAATAATTATCCACAGTTAGCCGAGTTTCTTTTCTCGTGACACTCCAGTTTCTTCTGTCTGTATCCAGTTTCGACAGCGTAGAAGGTAAAACAAAGATATCAGGCGACACGGATTCGTTCCTAGATCCGGACTACGTGTTTCGTAATAAGTTCAGGAAAGTTTGTTAACCAAATCGTTAGTCGAAGTTATTCCGGAATTATTATTCCGTACTTTCTTTTCTAATTGGAAGTCGCGTCTCGGAACGCAAAACGGCAACGTTACGTGCAATTATGGAAATCTGTACACAATGTTTCGATGTAAGCTCTCGTATCGTTGCAATTAATTAACGATCTAATTGCCATACCGTCGCCGCGTTTCGTTGCATCGAAAGCTCTCAAGCGGATCCGTTGGAAAGTCGCCCGGCTTTTCAATGACAGTTCTCGCATCGGGAAATGCGACCAGTCGATGGAAGAAACTTTATACACTTCTGATCGTTCGTATCTCGAATGGAACGGACGAACCCGTTTCTTTACGCTCTTCTAACCCGCGAAATACGATTCCCGACCCTCGCAATAGGCTCGAAAACGCGTTATTCTAACGTCGAAGTAAAGCGATCCTTTAGCCGAATAGTGCGACAAGGCGGAGCACCCATGCGTACGTAAAAGTATTTTCCCCTCCGTTATCAAACAAAAAAAGAAAGAAAGAAACTAACAAGGGACACACGCCGATTTTGATGCCCTTTGTATGCTCTATAGTATGATATAGAACTCAAAAAAATATTTGACCCCTTTTTTTTTATCGGCAATCGTCCATGCTGAAGGGGTGAAAATAGCCCTCAAAGTTGGGGTTGCAAAACATATTTTCTTGAATATCCCAGGAACTATTAGGTGTAGGCGAAAAATAAAAATGGAATTTGTGTGTTTTTGAACTGCAAATTTTTCTATCTAGCCATCTTTTTGATAAATTTATTTGTTTAAAAAATATATTGAAAAATAATCTATTTTTGTCATTTTTTTCACCCCTTCAGCATGGACGATTGCCGATAAAAAAAATACGTGTCAAATATTTTTTTGAGTTCTATATCATACTCAAAGGGCATCAAAATCGGCATGTGTAACTAAAAAAACATTTTTCTCTTTGACTCTTTCTAAACAATCGTACGCTCGGAACATTCGGAACGATTATCTAAATGCTCGTTGAAGTAGAGTTATTGTCCCCCTAATCATAATTGCCCATTGCGCAATCGCCGTTTGAAACTAACCATTGAACAACGTAATGCGTCGCGATAGAGAAAATTCATCCTTATTGTGGCTGTCTACGTAGGAAATTGTGGCCGATTTACAGTTTGACCCGAGTGAAACCACAGACACGGGTAACAGAAGTGCAGAAACTGCGAACGGGGAGAAAACTAGGAGAAAAAATGCTTCTAAGCATTGGCAACAGGAAACAGGTTCCCTTTGAACGCGTCAAGTGCTAATAACGCGAGGAGACAAACTCTCAACGAAAAACTGTGCATCGCGCGAAGAATCATATCTATATATTTGTAAACGCTTTTATTCTGTAATAATATTTTGAGGAGCCGCGCGTGTGCCAAGTTTCATTCAACAAGCATTCGGATAGGAAGCGTGTCTCGATTCCAGCGATATGAATGGAGACGATTCGTGAGGAGCCCGCGAGGAAGAAGCGGGACGGAGTTTCCGTGCGATCGGCACGTGCTCCGATGAATCGGGCGAGATACGTGATAGCCGGTAACGTCGAAACGCGTGTGAAGAATCAACCGTTATGATGTGCCACGGCGGAGAGAAGAATTTTAGCAGAAGTAGCTCGGGAAGATTCCGCGACTATTTTAAGAACGACGTCGAAGATCGTGATTCATGTGAGAAAGCTGGAATCCGACGCGACCCGGGACACATATCTTTTGATAGAACCGTGTAAAAGAAACTTAATTTTTATACTATTTTTACGAGAACCCGCTCGTGAAGTAGAATAAAGTAGACGCGATGGAGGGAAGGCCGAAAATCGAAATCGTACGCGTGCCTTCGAACGAGCGCGCCAACTTCCGGTCCCTGGACGGCGTACGGAGCGGTCACATTCGCGTGGGCACGTGCTGCCCGGAACCGGAAGTCAAAATGGTTGTTTGCGACGGTAAACCGCCTATCGAGCAGTCACGGAAATTTAAAAGGTATGTTCCTTAGATCGATTCGCTCGATCGTCGCTGACATTGACGATTGGTTTTCTTTCCAGAAACCTGGGACCAGTCTCGAAACTGCTCAGACGTCGCCACCAAGCGACGTATCTTGCGACGAAATCCTGTGATAACATTTATAGCGTGAATAGAAGTAGCGGCTCCTTAGACTGGAGAGTTAGTCAGACAGTGAACGAGCAAGGTATCAAAATTTAACCCTTTTAGGGGCACATTTCTCTTCCTGACAAATTATTAAAATTAGAAATTATCTAAAGATTTTCGAGGTCGCTAATTATGATCCTGAGATCAGAATTGCAAAATTCAACTATTTATTTCGAGAAAACTGGCATGCGAAAAATTCTGAAAAAATATATGTTATATTACTAGGTATGAATCACCTCAGCTACCACCCCCTTAAAGGACTAACACTCTTTCTGAGACACCCTGTATACACAAAAATTTTCAGAGCTGTAGGATTTTCTGTTCAAGAATAACCGAATTTATTCTGAAAAAAAGAGTTTTTTGTGTTTTAATTGTTTACAGCTAATTATGAATAAACACATTTATATAACTTGGAACCCCAAGAGTCTAAAAAGTACTCTTTGAAGGTGGTACAAATATGTATCACTGCCCCTTAAAGGGTTAAATTACATATTAAAAGTATTCCGTCCCCAACAATCGTAAGCGCCAGGATTATTCAGCACTCAAAGGGTTAAATTACATAACCCTTAAATTAAGGGCTAACTCCTGGCGGAAGGACGCGTTTAGCGGTTGCGATTGTTGAGAACGGAATACTATTTTTACTAATGTGAACTATGTTGATTAAATACGGAAAACGCAGCTAATTAATAATTGTAATTATTGCAACAAAGTTATTTTTGAACATATATGCGTCCTTAGCAGTGAAAGGATTAAGATTAAACTGGTCTGAAATTGTACCGTTAACGTGTCGCAGCGTTAGAAATACACGAGCTGCATTTCAAACTGCTTTCAGGCCTTCAATCCCGACAAAGCAGTAGCCTGGACTGGAGGGTAGGAAGGTCCGTCAACAAGTTGCATTGGCGAGACACGACTCGTAGCGCGGAACAACTTTCGAGAAGCAGAGATCACCTGCAAACTCCCAGCACAAAGTATTCCCTTATTCGTCAAGCCGATTGGTAATGCAACACTTTATCGGGAATTCACAATTCTCTCGCTTTAGGTCGAAACTCATTTCGCTGCTACGACGACTTTCTCCTCGGTTGTCCCGACCAGGAAGCAAAGGTTCCTTGCAATCTTCACCGACGATCTGTCCATGGGTTCAAGTCGAGTACTCATCGGAGTCGATCAACGATGGTTTGCGGGAGGATTCGCAGGAGAGCGACGCGAGTTTCCAGAGAGAACTGCAGCTGAACGAGCTGAAGAAACGAATGGCTGGGATTCCTACCAATTCTCAGGTGATTAAAGGCTACTGAAAATGTCTCTCATTATGCATCTATTTTCGTAGCACGCGATCGATTGTGCATTGTACCTCGAACAATTAAAAAGTAATCGAACGTTCAAGAATAGCCCGATGGTTGCTTGAAGTCGTGTGGAACGAAGGTAAATCGAAGGCGTGTCCGTTTAATGGTTTCCGCTTCGAACGAAACTTTGCCTTACCGATAATTCTAGGACAATGCGATCTTTTTTTTTTCTTCTTACGTCTAGCAACGATGTCTATCGAGATACTTTACGTGTTAGGTGACGGCGAAGGTCGTTAAGGATGAGAAGGAACGACAAGGCTCCTCGCAGCCCAGGATACAAGTGCAACCACCCGATAACGAGTGTAATAACGCCATCGAATCGTAAGCTTTTCATTTTTCATTTTTTCATTTTCTGGAACGAGGGATTTTTGATCGCTTTTGCACTGTACGAATAAGAATTGATCTAATCCCTGCATGAGCCCTAACAGCACCTAACGATAGCTCGATAAGTAAACGATAGATGTATCACGGCCAATAAATGATTGACATTGTTCTTTGCACTGTGGTCTTAATCTCCATCTTAGTTCTCTTAGGTAGCACGAGTTATCCTAATTAATAACACCCGTTTACGTACCCTCGCAAGTTTCCTAATTTATTAACACGTTCACTGCCAAATCGTAGTTTGCGTTATTGCCTAGGACGCCAACTACGAGTTATCCTGTAACTCTGTGCACGAATTGACTCGTACAGTAAATCCTCGTTTATGCGGCCTTCGATCAAACGAGCCTCCGTGTTATCCGAGCACTCCGCATTAATTGAGGTGTATGCTCGGATAATACGGAAAAACTCGGATAAAACGGATGACACCGCTATGCCTATGCTGTACGCGCGTAGTATTTTGCCATTTTACCATTTCAAATACATAAAAAACAATTAAAATTTTCGAATTTTTTATCTCTTCCGTGTTATCCGAGGGACCTCTTCCCCACATTACCTCGGATAAACGAGGTTTTACTGTAGTTGGCTTCCGCGAAGAGCTTTCTGTTACATACCGTGGCAGTCAACGTGTTAAAAAAATGAATTTGAATGGGTAATGAATGAAGAACGACGAGTATCCGACGATAAATACTGACAATTTTATTAGGACGAATACTATGATACACAATTTCATTTAAAACGAACGCTTCTTTAGTCTGCGGATCAGTATACAATTGTCAACTCGTTGAACATCCGAGACGGCAAGCGTCGCGAATATGGAATTACTGTTCGTAATATGTACAAATCAGATTGTAAAAGTAATCTGTACAGTAATGATTCACATACTTGTGAAAACGACAAGTACTCAGTACCTTGTACACGATGCAAAGGTGATTATCCTTCGGTGGTATGTGAATCAGTGCAGCATCCTGCTCTTTGGGATCTACGTAATCTATAGTGTGCTCTTCGGGCACGTGATTCGTATGGAATTGTAATATCACATCCAGGCTACCAGAGTCAGCAACGTTCGAGTCGGCTGCATCGTCTTCTGGATCGGAACGTTCCAACGAACGATCGTTTGGATCCGATAAGTAATCGCCGATGTCTGACTCGTCGGAATCGGTGTACCTCTCCAAGAGAGATGAATCGCCGATGTCTGAATCGTCGGAATCGGTGTACCTCTCCAACAGAGAGGAATTGTCGATATTCGACAAGGAGGGCTTTCGTAATAAATCTTTATCAGTTAGCTGAAAACATTTCGCTTTTAATATCTTCTTCAACATGTAATCCTCCTCTTCCTTGTTGCCTACCGGCGAATTACAATCTAACTCCACGGTTTTGTCTACGTTGCTATGCATCGGTTTTTCATCGCATTCTTTGCTAGTCTTCTCGCCCGAGCCCAATGCAGTTCCCTGCATTTCTCCGCCTTGCGCCGTGCACGCAGCGTTACCAGCTTCCGATTCGTTCACCGCAGATTTGTCGTATATTATCGTGTAACATCCTTTCGACCACCTTTGGAGTTCTATAGCTATCTTAGGGCTCGAGCCATCCTTCTCTGGTATAAGATCCAATTCAGTGTAGTTTTTTAACAATCGACACATAGAAACCGATTTGAACAAATTGTAAAAGCTCTTCAACAGTTCTGGGAAACTGTTCTCGTCGGCAACCTCGTAATTGCGAATATCCGCCGGGCCGACTTTTTGCCAAACGATGGTATCCGAGCTCACCTCTGTAACAAGTTTTTCATAAATATCTACTTTCATAAAACCGGAGAGAAATGCGAACGATTCTTGTTCCACATTTTGATTAACTTCCTTCATGATATTCTGAGTTAGATAGCATTTCGTTACCCAATCGTTTAAATCTATTTCGGTGTTTATCGGTTTTATATAATTCGGTACAATTTCTGGCCTTGGCGGCCTATTGGTTTGCCTGAGAGGTCCATGAAACCAACCGTTAATCGACCAACGTGATTTATCCGGGGAGGTTACTTCTGCTACTTGATGATAAGAATTATCTGTAACTTCAAAAAATACTACGGAATTGTATTCTGGAATCAATGATTTTACAATGTTCCTGGGCAGCCCATTGTCATCCGTGTCAAATAGATCCAAAGTTCCTCCATCTTCCCGAGTCCAATTTTTTGAAAGATACAAGATGAAAGCAATCCTACGGTCATCCATATCGTCATCATGGCAGAGCAAATAGTCTGTGTCATAGTAACAAGAACTAGACATAGTTATTGTTTTGTTAAGCTCTATCTTGGTGTTTCTTTCAATCCATAAGGCTAGATCTGTTTGAAAAGTTTTATATAACAGCTTCAAGTTTTCTCCGTCAACATTAACAAGATCATTGGTTTGCTCAAACTGATAGAGATCTATACTGTTTCTTCTACTCTTAACATCCAACAATTCATTCTTTATCTCATCCATAAATTCTTCGTTAGAAAGGAAATTGGTAATTTTACATATTCTAAAGGGTTTCGTTATAATCTCAAGGTTGTTCATCTTTGTCTCCTTAAGATTGCACCAGTGTTCAGAGAATAATTGTTGAAAATCAGTGGAATACATGAAATCTGAGATGATACAGTGTTTAAGTTTCTTCTCCTTCGGTTCCACTTGAGCCATAATTTTGTACCTTCCTTATGTCAATCGATAAAAGCTCCTAATTATATTCTCTTAAACTATCAGTCTTCTGGTGTATAACTTTTGTCTTTGCATCAACAATACATGTCTTTGATTAATTTAAGCTATATCACATTTCATTTCTTTTTATTTCATCTAACAGAAGGATATGTATTCGTACATATTTTGATCCATACGTACATATTCTTTGTTCAATAGATTGAAACTTTGGAACTAATACAAATTAATTAATTACTTTTAATGTTCATGTTTCTCAAAGTATCATTCTCAAAGGTTATCGTTTTCGCAACAACTTATTCGCACATTCGACTGTTGACAATGGCTTTACTAGATAACTTTTTATTCATAAAACGGACGTTTCATGTTTTCCAAGCATTTCGTGCCGATAGTAGAAATATCACAGTTCATCTAACTGCACTCACCAGAAGATGCGGCACTTGTTTTTTGATACATGCGGCCCACGTGGTTGCTCGACCCACACGTGTTCTGAAAGCAGTCGGTTGAAACATCGATTAATAGAATTCTGCTCCTCCATTTCGTGATTGCGTTGATTCATGAAATAAATGGATAACGAACGTATGCTATCACTCAGCGGTCACTACGTACCGGAATTTACATGTGTGTCCAAATTTAGCGAATTAGGTCTGCCGTTCCGTCACAACGCAGTTGCATTCTGCCCAGGAACTGCTACTATCGCTGGCGAAAACGTTGATTCGATCGAAGCCAGGGACGTCGCAAATTATTCGCGAACCCTGACCGCACAGTTCTCTTTATCTTTTGCACGTTCGTACTTAACCTTCTTCGATCTAAAGAAAAACTTTTAACCTTTACAATCTTTCACAATCTTTAGTACGAAATGATTGCTCCAATTTTTGCTAATAAATTCACGACATACCTGAAGCGAAAATAATCCTATCAATCAGGAATACTAGAATTTGATTAATTTTGCAGACTGTCATTAAATCCGACAAGATATTGGGGGAAAAATAAAAAATGCCGGCTTTGCGATTTCTTTCCTTTTTTATTTTATCGAAACTTCATTGAGTTTATGAAACATTATACATCTGTTATAAAGTATTCGTTATTATTAATTCTAATATTGTATGTACAGTTCTGAAAAAGTTACGTAACATTGTGTAACTATTTCTACGGATATTATCAAAATCTTCAAAAAGCATATAATTCACTCGAAAAAATCAATACCAGCGGTTGAATTCATACAGAATAACACTTACTCTTTTCTATTTTTAACGTAAAAGAACACATAAACGATATAGCTGATAAATATTTACATTTATCTAAAAAGAAAAAGCGCAGGATTACGTGGCACAGAATCTAAGCATTTTAAATCGACCGGGCGGTCGTTCGATAGTTTCTCGATTCGCCGCGGTGCATCGTGGTAGTCGGCCGTGTTAAGATGGCGGCAGTAGTTCACGTTTGACGGATGCCGTTGGTCGCATGGAAATTCGGGGCACACCCTGACCATTAAATTGTACAAAGTGTGATATCGTCACGACGAATGTTCAATTACCGTGAAATCCTTGTGTGAATTAGTAGCTGGCAATCCTGGAAGCGAGCAACAGAGCAGCGCACGCATACGTGAGTAACGACACTTCGATGTAACCCACATACAACACAGCGTGACATGTTACGTCCTTTCCGGATTTTTTATCCCTCGCGAGCTGTCAACACACGATCCTTTTATTCCGCAAACGCACGTTGCCTGCTTGTCGTTCACCGATAGGCTCGATAACGTCTGGGTGGGGTGTTGCGGAAAAATCGGCGAGGTAAACAGGCGGTCGGGATACTCCGGGCTCCCTCAGTCATCTTTTGTTTGTGTCGGGAGAAGCACGTTGCGCCGGGGTCGTTTAGTGAAACCGTTTCGGAGTGCTGTCTTTCGAGTGTCTTTTAGAAATCTTTTCCTCGACCAAACCCACGTTCAACTGTCATTTACCATCGCATCGATACGTTCTCCGTTTATTTCTCGATTCACTACGGTTTGGCCTTGAACCCGGACTCTTGGTGTCCCACTGCGACGATTATGGCGTGAAGGTGCTTTCGAATTTTGAAATCCTACGTGCTTTCTGGAGAACGAGAGAGGTGAGTCAGGTGAAATTCTTGCGTTACACGTCAGCTGGACGAGATTTTAAATGAATTTCACGCGATTACGTGAAACAACAACGAGTTTCTTTGCGCCTATAAGTGACACTATCGATCTCCCAAGGGAACTGCGTTTCTCCTATACGTCATACTTTGTTTTCTATCAACTACCGTGTTTCCATACCCGGTAACGATCGACCAAATATCAGGCTGATAGAAAACAGTCGTGAAAGGGGTCACCTCTGTGTATTTAATAAAAAAGAAAAATATCTACTCGGTGACACTAATTGTAAGAAATACTTAAGTAATGCGCGTCTGGGTCGCGTACGTGACAGTTGCCGCATGTTTTACTGCCGTGAAGCTGGTCATTCAATCGAACACAGAATCGTGGAAGTTTCGAGTGGCTCCGTTCGCGATGAGGTAGGTCATTCCCCTTTTTTTCCTTCTTCGATGGAAGGAATACCTTCGACGAGATGCCAAGTGGCTCGTTCAACGATTACGCCACTCGAGCCAGTAAGCCTGTCGGTTCCTGGCATTAAGTGTACTGTTCAACTCGACGTTCGTTAATGTTGCCGTGTAAACGTCTTTTATCGCTATTTCCCTAATAAACCATCAGTCGCATTCGCAAGAAACGCGATCCGTTAAGATTGAAAATTTAATTAAGATCGGAAGGTTTACATTCCGGGAGTTATGTGACGGTTGAAAACACAGCAAGACACCTGGTATAGAGGGGCAAACCGTTACGCGTTTCATCGACGCGAAAAGGAATGATCTATCCACGAGCGAGCAATTTATTTTTCCGTCGAGATTCCCCCGTGAGTTTCGCATGGTAAAACTCGGATATTTTCTAACTCAAGTAAACGGGCCGCGCTGTTTATAACAGTCGCGTGACCGGTGCAATTATTTTCACGTTGAACCTGTTACATAGTCTTGTCGTATATATGGTGTTAATTTCCTGTTATCGACCCCGTAAGATTGTTCTTATTTTCCTGAAACCGAATTAATTCAGTTCGCCTGGTTTAATCGCTCACTCTTCTCGCTCGGAATATCTTAGCATATTCGGTTCCCACAGCACCGACATTTAATTGAAAGGGAAGTGGAGCAATAACCATAAAATCTTGAGAAATCTGCTTTTGCATATTCTCGAAACCACCGAGGTTGACGGTATTGGTTTTCTAAGGACGTGGAACGTCGACACGCTCGAATACATCCTCGCTCGTTTCCTCTTTTCTCCGGGACTCTTTTCCCTTCCAGCAACGGCGATCAATGGAAACGCGACATTCGCGAAAAGAAATCCGATTGTTTCGCCAATCGTCATGCGAGATTCGTCCTTCTTTTTACTTCCTATACTCCACTTTTGCCGGTGCTCTCTCGTCGGCATTCACCATTGTTGCGTAGACTCGATCGCACGAGTGAATTTCACTGTGGATTTAAAAAAGTAGAGCACCAATCTGCGTCTGACAAGGAACGATTTTGAACCCGGAGATTCAACAAATTATGAATTATGAAATTTTGTGAATATGTAGGGGATGTCCTCTTGATTAACACTATACCTACCATGCGGAGTCAAAAGACCGTTTTTTAAATTTTGTTTAGAATTTCGCTGTTTAATTTCACGACTTTTCGTATATTATACGTACAATGCATTTTTTAATATATTTATAATAAATAGGTATGCATGAAATGTTGTTTTCGTTTGCTACCCATTTTTAGTCTAAGGAGGTGAAAATCGCCTTTAACACTTTGAGCACCACGTCGCCCATGTATGGATGACGCTTGAATTTTAATAGTAATCCATCACTCATATTGTTAGGAATCGTATTAGATACTTGAAATTATGGATAAAAATATGTGAAGATAATATACATAAGATTTGTGAAAACAAAAGTAATACTTAATGGAATTTTCAATGGTTCTAACGTGACAGTCAAAGTGTTAAAACTTAGGCTGTTTCACGTGTTTTTTTTTCTTTTTCTATAAAACCATTAGAGATATTGAAAAACTTCCTAAGCAAAAGTATTTTTTATGTTGAAACAATTGTTTTTAAATATTTTTGTTCATAACATTCTGTAATTGTTTAACATTAGAAATACCAAAGAGGCCAAAATGACTGGTTCCCAAGTTTTTATTTTAAATTATAAATTTTATCGAGATATTTTTGTTGAAATTTATGTTGGCTATTGACGAAATAAAGAATGGATGTATTCATCCTTTATCTATTTAGTAATCTACATTATTTTCAACTTAAAAATAAATGTGCATCAAACGTTGGTAATTCTAGTGTGAAATAATTACTTGTTTTAGTATAAAAAAATTCTATTCATTAAAACGAACAATTTTTGCTTATGAAGTTCTTCAATATTTCAAACGGTTTCGGAGGAACAGAAAAAAACACGTAAAATAGCTGAAATTTTATGCAAACGAAAATTGCATTTCAATCACAAAGTTTCATAATTTTTGAATCTCCTGGTTCGGGATCGTTTTTTCTGAGTGGTGATATAAATTTCACGGTTAACAGAGCTCGGTTAACTTTAATGCTCTACCCTTTCCCCGTTTCGAAAATTTACAACGTGCTCCTAGAATTATTTTCGAGAAAAGTTTCCTGATGGCCTTCGAGGTAGAGAACTGGTCGAATCGACAGCTTGGAACCGCGTATCGACGAACACAATAAGACACTTGGCCAGAGACCGAGCAGCTGCTGCATTCTCAGTCGACGCGTTGCATCTGCAACGAGCTGATTGCACCGCGTCATTTGTTCGCATCCTCGGTGTCCACGTCCCGTAAGATTGAAACGAGTTCAAATCGCAATTTCACGCTGCACGTGCCATTACGATCACGATAATTAATCCTTCGGTTCATTTCCGAACGACGATATCATATTGCGCTTAGTTTTCTGTTTGCTAGACTAACGATCACGCGGGACAAAAAATCGAGGCAAACAGGAATTTTTGCATATAATTTTTGCATTTTGAATATTTTGCATATAATTCTAGGCGTTGCCGAGCATTCCGCAGGCATTTTTTCGAGTGTCATTCTTTCGTAATTACAATGGGCTCTTGGGGTTGGTATTACTCTGCTCCAGAACTCTTGTCCTCTTTCGTCTCGCTCGTTTTGCGCAAAACGTACGTGCCACTTTTGGATGGATCAATAAAAAGAATAGAGAGAAAAGGGATGATAAATTCCGAAAATTTTGGCCCAGAAACTCCGCGAACTGAAAAGCTATCTTATGAAACTTTTGATTGAACGTTATCATTAACAACAGCCGCTTAGGTAGCTATCGATAATAAACGGGATAATTCTTTTACGGGATAATCGCTCAATTAAAAGTACATCAACGCGGTAACGATTGTTATTTTGTTCGTTAATCGAAGAAGGTAAGAGAATAGTGTGATTGCGTAAACGACGTCTGTTTGTTCGATATTTTCAACAGTTCAGACCTCATCACGTTGCTACGGACGTGTTTTATTACCAGATAACTCGGCTGTGTTTAATGATAGGATAACGACGATACGATTAAGTGAATGAGATCGTGGGATAACCCCATTCACGGTTTATCATCGATCGGGTTATTGGCCGGTGAAATAGGGGAGAAGAGACCCCTTCCGAAGCACTCGATTTTATAGGTTGATCGGTATCTGGATGCGAAACACGGGAAACTTTGGCAGATAAAACACTTCCTCTCAGGAAATGCGGCCGCGTTCAAAATATTGCTTTGCCGGAACTTTTTATTTCACCCCAGAAACGTTCGAATAAAATTCAGGAACCCATTGGGAAAGCTCGTTATCCTAATTTATGCAGCTCGTAAAGAATATAATAATCCTCTGGTACAATGGATGAAAGGGTTGAGAAACCAGTTCCCTGGAAAGTTCATGGAATCCGACAATGGACAGCTCAATCAGGAAACAACGAACACGCGATTAGCACGGCAATACCGTAAGGGGGTTCGCGAACGCGTGCAAAGC